CTTTAATATTAAAGTTAAATATGCTTTACATTCACACTTAACATGCCAATGTTGCTTTTCTGGTGAAAAAAAGACACACACACATACAAATGCAAACACATCTTACATTTGTGACTTAAAAATGAAAATTATCCTCAAGTGTGCATGTTCCAGAGAAAGTAAAAATACAACAGTGTTCACAGACTCTTTCTCCCTCCAGTGTACACACAAACGCACACACAACAAGTACACACACAGTCTTGCTCCCACTTTTTCCTCACTTTCACAGGTCTTAATAAGTGTTGAAAGAGAATCAATTTTGATGACTGCCAGTGCTCTTAACAGTTACTGCATATATACACAAAACACTGATGTAGTCATGCACAGCACACACTTAAAATAAATGCATACACATCGCAGCCAAAACATGAGTGTGAGTTGAGTCAGATGTAATATGAACACGTGATCCCACAGCAAGGGAATGGTCTGTTCCATATGTGCTTTAGATCTCACGTTCTCTCTCTTCTTCAGTGTCTTTACTGAGTTCTCGCACTCCTCTTCCTTTTGCCATCTGGACAGCAAAACCCATCCCCGTTTTTGTCTCACTCTGTGCCACTTTTTCATTTCATATCTTTGACACATTCCTTTTTTCACTCTATTCTAATTCACTTTATTTAAAATGCAATTATCAGCTATCCGGGGATACAGATTTGCATTTTCTTTATATGTACTATCATTTTAATTTTGTATTTAAGCCTTCCTTATACTGGCTTCGTGACTGATATGTTATATTCTCATGAAAACAGTGTGCAGAAATCTGTTTGAGAGTGTCCTCTCTAGACATGTGATGCCATTTCTTATTTCAGCAAGTTATCTTAAGTGACATCCATCTGTCAAAGTCCTCCAATGGCAATAGTGATTATTAATGTGAAAAAGTAAGTCAATTTTGGTGATCGCAGGATGTATCCTGTTACTCAGGGGTGAACGCAGCTTGGCTGTTTTCCTTGCTTCATAAACGGCATGCGTGCTGAGACTGTCAACCATTAAAAGCCTTCCCGTTGAGTCATTTGTGAAAGCTGGTCATACTACTTGTAGCTAAGTTTTATAGTTAACTGACTGCTAGTGGTGGTGTGAATAGCTGGTGCTGATGTGATCATTTTTAGGTGTACTGGGACTCAACACCCTGGAAACTTATGAGACTACACAACATCGGCCCAATCTGGACTGGGATCTGGGCAGGACAGCAGTGAATTTAAGACAGGGAATTTTAAACCTCCTAACCAGTGGCATCACACATGTCATAAAAGTCAGCAAATAACATTGATTGGGGAGAAAGAAAAAGGCAACATTTTATGACTCTACAATCTGACATGGAGACCATGATAATGGACAAAAACATTGTGCAGCATTGGAGAGTGGAGCACAAGTCTTTCTTTGTCTTTATGAAGGGATTTTTGTTCTTTAACCTCACTTAAACTGCCATTGAAAAGTGCACCTAATGTACCAGTTATTCATAGTCAGGTCCAGACATCTGAAATCAATAAAGAAATTAGTTTAGCCTCCCACTTATTCTGATGTGAATCTGTCATTTTAAAGCAAGTGAAGTGAAGCCTAGTAACTGAAGTAGTAATTTACAGGTTTTACTCCTAATCAAATGGTCCACTGCTTAACATGTTATTATACGTTGTGTTTATATTGCTGATTGGAGGACATTACATTTTGAATTTATCACAGTCTTTTGCTTCCTTTAGCCTCTGTATATCTATCTATCTATCTATCTATCTAGCTATCTAGATAGATAGATAGATAGATAGATAGATAGATAGATAGATAGATAGATAGATAGATAGATAGATAGATAGATAG